ATATCTAAAATCTTTAAAATCTAAAAATAAAGCTCGGATTAGCCTGACTGAGATAATGAAGGAATATTATTTTGGCGCGTTATCAACTACAGATCTGGGACCTTCTCAACATAAGATTTAATGTAATGATATGGTTGGTACACTACATCCTATCGGCGACCAAGCAGTGAATGAGAAAGTCTACATTCAACTTAACTAGACGTGTAGTTATCAGCAGGAAGTGACAAAAGTCAAGATAAGATACATTTGTTATCTGAAATCGATTAAACTTATACCTAAGTCATTCAGTATGTTGTTGTTGAGGCCATGCCATAACATGCCACTATAAATCAAGAGGCTTGCATGTAATGAACATATTGACATGGGTGCAGAGTTGAGTCTGTACGGAACCTAGTAGTTTCAGTTCCTTGTTTAACTTGCCGTACAGCAAGGACATCCACTACTTTAGCCCGGCGAGGCACATAACTGACTCTACAACTCCATGTCAAACTATGCCATTATTGCCAAGCCCAGGGCGTTTTTGATCAGGTTTTTCATTTTTATAGGCGTTTAAAGTTAAAACAGCTCATAATATTATGTACTTAACATTTAGTACTTAGTGAGTTTTACTAATTACGATTACTGTGTCAGGAATCCAACTAGAAAATCAGCTCAACTTATTATTTAACTAACAAAAATGTCGTCATGGCCTCAAGTGTCCATGATGAGATTTTACACAAGAATTCTGCTAGCAAAACACACAACTACAGAATTGACAGCCAGCCTGCAGAGCTAAACTAACAGGGACATATTATAATATTTAATATAATGACTGTTACATATTATCAATCTGATTATGTGCAAGCACTGTCTTCAAGGGGTCACGTGATACCCCCCACTTCAAGGCAATAAACTGAGTCACGTGATAATAAACTGAGTCACGTGACAATAAACTGAGTCACGTGACACGGTGATCCACTGTGCCAAGTTACTATCTAGTAGGTTACTGTGGTTATCATAAGGTTATTAATCACACTAGTCAGAGTTCACGGACTAGTTAGTTAATCATGCAGACTACCACGTGACAAGTTACAACTATCACGTGACCAAGTTAGACTTCAAGACCAGCCGTTAAATAAACCAGATTCCTCGACCAATGAGGAGTTGACGAATAAGCGAGCACACGACGAATGAGTCGGTTGTAATGAATGAGCGAGGATTCTGTGGAAATGATGAAATTCTTAATGAAGGAGCAGTTTATATATGCATCTACAGTAGATGCCATCTACTTATCTAACTCATCTAACTAATCTAACGCAAAATAAACTTTCATTTAAATTAAACTTTACATAACCCTTATTATTATATATTAATGCTTTTCATACAAAGTTACGACGAATTCTTCATGTTATGCATCCTGGGTTTGGACAGGTAAGGATATATATAAAAGTAGAAAAGTAAAAGACGTAACAAATCAGAATAAATTCGTATTATTAAAGTAGCTCACAGACATAATGAAGATCATGTCTTCAACTACATACTATCACAATAATATCACGTAAAATTAAATATCCTCCATTTTTAAAATATTGGGCACATAATATGTAAGGATTGTGATAGTTGCCGTAAACGATCCATCAAATATTACTGGACATTTTTGCTTAAATATTCCAAGAATTTTTACTTAAGTGTGCTAAGATATATCGCAATATACAACCATGGTCTGTCCGGGAGTACTAAAAGTTTTAAATCTATATAATCCTCGCTCGAGTATCTGCTCCATGTCGGGAGTAAAGATTTATTAATCGAAATATTATAATATGGTGACCGCATGAGCAATGAGCATAATATTGCTTTATATTATGGTGGAGTAATAAAACTTGACAGTTAGGATACTTATCATGTGACTAATCTGTCAAACCAATCTGTCAAAGTTGGCATCGTGACAAGCATGGTTTACTGCGTACTTGGTATAGGCAGCAAACAGCTGAAAATCGTTCTAGACGCAGGCGTAACTAATAAATTGATCAATACAATGGTTTGTGTAACGTCGACCACTCATGCGGAAAACACGGTAACGTTAGTACTGGCCATTTAATTAATTCTTCCTAGTTGAAATGTATTTTATGCAAAAATGGAATGAGAATTCATAAAATAGTTATGTTATGAAATGGTTCCGTTGCGTTGTGGAACAAATAATTTTCATTGTATCAGTTTGCATATTATTTTCACTGGAAATGTATTTTGTTTCTTCTCCAACTTCAAAGCAAATAAGAAGACACGCTTTAATTTCATGAATTAGTTTTCTGATTCCCTAATACATCAACTAATCCTTGATGACTTTTTAAAAAGTTGGTCCCGATTTACCGAAAAATAAGTGTTCTCTGACACTCATACTGTAATTTTTGGCCTTTCTTTGGAATTGGGGTATAATTATCTACCGTATGTGATGTCCCAATACTCCAGTACAGCGTACTACGTAGCAGTTCACCCTCTTCCTGTGCAAAGCATTCCCCAGTTCAGAACTTCGTGCTACATTACCTAATTAGGACATTTGGAGCATATCAGGGTTGCACGATATATTGACATCTTGTCGGATCATGACGATCACTGCCGCCCTTTGAAGTTTATTCACTTAATGAACCCATCGTTTTATTTTTATGACAAATAATATAAGCTTGTTGTCCGTGAAAGACGTCATGTTCGTTATAATTTGAATGATTGCGAAATGTGTTACCCTATTTAAACGGTTCCCAGGTGTTCCAGCTAGAGTGGAGTACCTAAATAGTAGCGTGAAGCTTTCAACTGCTATTTAGACCTTTAGGGTATTACATTACTAAGAACATGTGACATTTCAAAAACCCTGAAACAGTTAACGACACACATAATATGAAAGAGCCATAAGACGTCTGGCCAGTTCTGCTATAAATTGGTCCTGAATTTAGTCCCAAGTTTAGTGTTTTATTCTAACAGAACTACGAGCTGCTCACCTTCTCCTTTGGGGTAAAGAACTCAGCTGATCGTCTGGTACAGTTTCTGATATCTTATCATCAGGTCTCATCATCAGCAACTACTCTCACAAACAAAAGTACTACAATTGTACTAACAACTATAACAAAGGTGAGCGGCTAAATCAACAGTATAATAAACTAACATATCCTGTATTAATATAGCGTACAGTAGTAGTAGTAGTAATAATATAACGACGGAACATAGCACAGTGGGAGGTCTATAGCAACAGTAGCTAGGTTACAGTTACTATAGAAACAGTAGCTAGGTTACAGTAGCAACTGGGGGGAAGCTCACACTCAGGACCTGTCACAAGACATGTAACGGGCAATGAAGCCATCTCATTGGTATAAATCTGTCACGTGGTGTGATTACTGCCATGTGATTGGTCGTTATCTAGATTAAATAGTCACAGACAGCACCAAGGGTATGTAATAGTCTAGTGCAGCCTGAACTTACATTTTAATACTAGCTAAGATAAGATACATGTGTTAATTACGATATAACACAGTATTTGTCCAGTCAGCTGGGTAGCTGAGTGTTTGACGCTCTGGATTGGTTAACCGCTGCCTTCACGTAGGTTTTCATCTTGAGGGATGATTTTTAAATGCTGGTCAAGTTAGTCAGTAATTATACAGTAGGGTCTTACTTAGTAAGGTTGCATATATTTGATGTCGTCAGGGAATATTTATGTAAATACTACAAGTTTTAGTTGATGCGATTATCTATTTATTTATCTAACATAATTATATCCATCCAGCCAAGGACAAAAATTACAGTCCAATTGGATCAACAAGCTCTAATTTAAAAGTTTACCACCTAAAGTTCCGAGACGTCTGCTACAACCGATGTTCTGCGGAATAAAACGTAAGGGCGGCCTTTACTCATCATATGGCCCCTTAAAAGGACTTCTAAGCCATGAAGTCCTCATTTGCAAGCCCTACAAGTTAAGAAGGGTTCCAATTATAAGGAGCGCTGGTAACTGGAATTTGTTCCAAGGAACACGTCTGACTTTTAAACCTATAATTTTTACTTTAACAATTTTATGAATTGCACTGGACCATAATTTTAACGTCTCTATCATATCCCAAGGTGAAAGGTACATGATTAGAAAGGGTGAGAACAATCTACAAGTACAACGTGTCCCTCATTTGTAGATATTAATAAATCTACCCTCAATTGGCAGGTGTCATAAAATCCATTACCTAGTCTTTGAGCTTGCCATTAATACCAATGAATTGGGGGGCCAGCGTGTCATGGGCTAGCGAATAATTTTAGGTCCTTACCATCAGGGGTATAATCAACATGCTGAAGAAGGTGGATTTAGAGTTGAGATATCTGGAAGTGGTAGCATAAAATGGAGGACGACTTCGTGGGAATAATGAGCGATAAACTAGCATACTATTTAGATAACAGATTGAGTAATATGTGGTCAGTTGAACTTGGAGACATAAATCTTATAAAACTGTCAAGGTGAACGAATAATGATAAATATGGGAAGTTATTTGTATCCCCAATCTCTAGTTAAAAGTGCTACGGTGCATAAGTTTAGGAAAATTATCATGTACTACCTCGTGACAAATTTCCAATGAAACTAATAGCGACCGGAAGTAAACTATTTACGATATAACAGAACATGTTTCCCACGAATAACGTCATGGGAAAATTTGTTAACAGTTTCCCTTGACGTCTTTGTTGACAGTTTCGATTAAGATGTTCAGATTTGAAAGTTCCCAAAGTTGTCAAGAGTGTGATGGTACCAATTCAAGTCAGGAAGTTTAGCAATGTGGCTCCATTGTGCTATCACATTATAATATTACACGATATTATGGCGTCATGATATTAACAAACTCTTAATTAACTTAATATCCAAGTTTGTGTAAAAATAAAGGGAATAACATGTTTTCACAACAACTATTTGAGATATTTCCATGTCAACAATCGGTATTATAATATCATTATAATGCAATAAAACATTTAAAAAAATATTTTGCAGCTTAAGTTCCACTTACTTAGTCCATGTGTTGAAGCGACCGGGAGTAAGAGTATCAGCTTTGTGGGGATTCTCTGAGTTAGGGATGGAGTAACACCTGCAAATAGTTGTCACATGAAACATCTTGGCACTTTAAAATTAGCTGAATACAACGAAATACAATATTCTTAATCAATCAAATAAATGTAAATCAATAGCACATAAAAGATCTTAAAATCGAATAAGGTGAAATGAACATTTAACGTATGATAGCTAACTTGTCTTAGTTAAATTAAAACATTACCTGGGTAGGGATTCATAAGATCCCATGGAATCCAAAGACTGCCTCGAGTTGTTGATGTAAGGCCGTGCATTTGGACAGAGAGAATCAATAGATTCAAACGATCGAGCAATTACTGCACGGGGTGGGATAACTAAAGAATCATCTGATCCTGTAGAAGACGGCTCAGCAGCACTGCTCTCACTAAGTGATGCAGCTGCTAAAGACATCCTACAACAAGTTTTATTTTAATTTTTCTATTTAAGAAGGAGTATTAATAATAATCATTTTAAAGTGGGTTTAAGCGTAAGTTAAGGTAACATCACATGGAGGTGACTGTGAACAGTGGTGCAAATCCAGGGGACGAATATGTATTACCCTCAAATTAAAATATTTCTATCGCTAGATTTCATTCCTGTGAGCATATTTTCCAAAACATTTACTACATCTCTTATTTTGAGCAGCACTGGTGATGGTTGTTGTGAAAGCATTGTGTTTGCCCTGAAATATTTGCCCTCATATGTTTTCCGCTCAATAACCCAGCATGTTAATGAATATTTCTTGATTTTTATGAGAAAAGACAATTTTTTTTTTGAGAAAAGACAATTTTGAGAAAAGACAATTTTATTATTTATCACCAATTCAATACATAATCAATAAATATATATCCGAATAAATTTGATTAAAAATTAAATGATACAAGTATGCTAGCAGCTAGCGCGCTTATATTTGAGAAATATTCACGCTGTTAAAATGGGTTTTACCACACCGCCACTCACATTAGCACAATTGGTGAACGGACCCAGGCGCTGTTCAGCTTTTATGAGCCCTGGTTGACTGCTGAGAGTGGCGAAGGGGCTGATATTAATGGAACACAGAGTTAATGGTATCACTATCAGGAGCTAAAACTAGAGTATCTTGTACAGTACAAAACCACTCTATACCGGCAACTTGAAATACTGGACCTCTCTTTTTGCCTAAAACTTCAAGTCTATGTTTGACCAGTTCGTGCAAGAAATGTGTTTTAATAGAGCTTGCGTTGGATTTATTGGTGAAGCAAGCTGTGTTCCATGACAATGCTTGATTGTAAGGCCCTTAATCGATTATATGTCAGGTTACAGATACTGGAGATAAGAATCCTGTAAGCCTCTATACTGGGTTTTTAAATACAAGCACTCTCCATTTCCCCTGCAGTCGTACAGAGGTTTTTAACTATAGTTTTGGACTGCCTTAGATATCAAAAATTATCTGTATCATATGCTATTTCTTAGTCCCAAGAAGTTGTTTTATTTCTAGATTTGACAACGCTGGCAGAGCGGCGAATACGTGGGGACCTTATTGAAGTTTTTAAGGTTATTAATGCTATGACTGATTATGGTTCAGACTTGTTCAGACCAAGCAGATCAGGTCTTAATCTGGTTTCATCCAATAGATGTAGTAAAAGTGTGACAAAGGTCAAGAATATCCAGAAGTCTTTTCTCCCGGAGCGAGTTATTCCATATTGGAACAAACTCCCTCCGGACGTCAAGAACTCTGTGACAGTTTTAGGTTTTAAAATTAAATTAGAAGGATATAAAATAGATATGATTTCTAAAAGTATTACAAATGATTGCTTTTTTTGGAATGTTTCTAATGAAGTTTTAGTAAGAATTGAGGGAGCCAGTTATGTCAGTAATAAAGAGAAACATAACAATTATCTTTGGTTCCATCCTTATGTGGCAAAGAAGCGTTTTATAAATCTTCATTCCACTGGGAAGTTTTTAAAATAGGATAATGTTTTTGATGAAATTGTTTTTAAATATTGTATTTGATAATTAATTAATGTTGGTGGGGAAATATTTATTATATATTTTGTCACACAGTGCGATGATAGTTTGTAGACATGTGTGATGATGTGATGTCATAAATTTTACTTTACTTTACTTTACTTTACTTTAGATCAACTCAGAGGTAGGATGCTTTGCTCAGATTCCGAATCTTTTTAACCGAGATGAAGATCTGAACGTAATCCATAATCATTGTAAAATATACATCAAGATCAGCCGAGTAAGTGCTGCCAAGTCCCAAACTGAAACGCTACTAGTACTTTTTTGGAAAGTAGATAAATGATTTTCTATATCATAAAAATATGCACCAATTGAAGAAACCTCCGGAGGTATGGGACTGCTCTGCACTGTGTTTATAGATCGTGTCTCGGAGATGATAGCTGACCACAATAAGTGATAAGAAGACAAGAGCCAGGTCAAACATCGTATCAAAACACGATTTAGATTTGATCTGTTAAGAACTGCACTCACTGCACTGAGGGGAATCGGAGGAAGATCAACGGCCCAGCATCTTGGACTGCAAGACGTTTCCTTTGACCTCATCCCTCAGTAGACGAGCTTTGAGGTCTCTTAGTTTTGTTTATGTAAATTTTGTTAATATTTTACTGTACTATTTTATATTCATGTATACAATTTTACGGAAGAAATTATCCCAGGAGTGACTCCCAACACACTGCTTTGACGGGTAGTTGATGCACCGTTTTAAAAAAAGAGCCACTTTGGTCTACTTGTTGTGAGGTGTCTCAGCTTCATAGTAGAGGCTCTTACGGGCATTGTCTGCTCGATACGCTAGGGACCCCAGATACACCTTACTAGACGTATTTTTGACCGTAGAATCGATTAAAAGTAGTTCTAAGATGATTGGACTGATTTTTTTTGGCTAAAATCGCAAAAACCGATTTTTGGGCCAAAAATAAGCCAAAAAACCATGTTTTTTGATATTTTGAGCAAGTTAATTTTGTTGGCATGTCGGCAAAACTTGCATGGAGATAGCTAAAAGACAGCCACACAAGATGGTATAAAAATAAAACAAATCCCTCTATTTTTTCTGGGGTAAAAATCCAAAAAAGGGGTAAAATTTTGATTTTTTTGCTTGAAGTTTGAAAATTTTTTGCAGTTGTATTAAATCAACCCAAAAATAGTCACATCGTGTTTGCCTAAATTTTTCCTTTCCGAGAAGTACCCACTTCATATACTTTATCGAAGTTTGAATATTGTCACTCCGCAAGCGTTTTTGCCAAATTTTCGACGCGCACTACGCGCAAAAGCATTTAGTTGTTATCAATTGGCACCCGCGCGTTCATCATAAATTTCAAACAGCTATAACTCAGCGAGATTATGTCCGTTCTAGCTCATATTTTCACACCAAATAGAAAATAATGTGATCTTATTGCTGACAAAATATGAAAATAATTACTCTATTTGCCTTTGTATCACGTTGCGACCCCCACGGTCGTTTCACTATGTGAAACTTTATCGTCCTGACGATACAGGGGGAGCCGCGCACTCCGTGCGCGGCGGGTCAAACAACGTATGACAAATTTGCCTTATATATATATTAGAGTAATAGACTGCCAAAGTTTAAAACGCGCATTGGTATAGCACGTGACTAATAAGGCCAAATTTATACTTCTTAACATATTATCGATCCTTAGACATCATACGTACTATTGTGTCCAATTAGCGGTTAGGTCTCTAAACTCGTAGCAGAAAACACGTCTTTTTGCCCGTAAGAGCCTCTACTATCATAAGTTGGGGGTCCCCCCCCCCTTTTTCTTTTTTTCTTTATTATGAAGAAACTAGGTCGGCATATTTTATAACAAGCAACAATATAAAGTATACATTAAAATTATTCATCTCTCAATCCAGGAGTCACAACAGCAACAATGTTAAATGTCATCGAAACTACTGAAAATTATATCAATTTTATTAACCGGGAACGATATTAATGAAATTTAGATGAAAGAACTTTCTTAATAAGATGAAAGAACTTTGTCAATATATGATATAGACAGTTTAGATGTGAATTTGGAGCCGCAAGGCCAAGGGTTAGTTTCAAAATATTGAGTTTTTGAAAGGTTATTTTTATATAGGTTATAGGTTTATATAAGTTATAAAGGTTATTTTTATGTGTATACTGTTTGAAACATTTTATTTAAAAAATTTGATAACTTTTAAAAAATTTAGATGAAAAACACTTTTTTTAAACGCAAAATGTAACTAAAAATGAAACACGAGTCTGCCTCCAGAGACAAAGCAGTTCTAGTTAAAATGTTTATGAAGCGCTCGATTCTTTAAATTTTAAAACATATGGACTTTTTTATTTAACGTACACTTAATATTTGATTGATCGACGATTTAAACTTTTTTAAATCGTTACTAGCTCTGCAAAGCAAGAATAATAGTTCGCGCGGCGCGTCAAAGGGTGAAGTCTTCCAATGCAGCACTTTAAATAGTGCTAGGTCAGTTGGGTGTCAGCTTAACTGGCAAGCCCCATTTTAGAATTAAAATTGTTTTTAGAATAGAAATTGAGAAAATTTTAATTCAGAATATTTGCTATTTATTCCGTGATGTGCCATAAACCATGCAAATTTTGAAGGCCAATAGTTTTAACTTCATCTAACCAGGTGCTTAATTCGCGCCACTGCGGGCGCGATTGTTTCAAAATAAAGCAAAGCACATAGCTCATAGCCGCCGCAGCCGGGAGGCGGGCGCGCGCCACTGCAAGCGCAAGGGCTCTGGATAGAGCAAGTTCTAATCACGCGTTATATCACTATTTTTTCATTATTTTAGCTTTGATGTGATTTTAAATACATGTTTCACTTTCTCAGTATGCGATTTGGAGCTGAACCTAATAAGTATAGTAATAACCACTTCCCAGATCATGAATGATCAAAAAATTTTTGTTCGTTAATAGTCGAAGTCCGAAATGCTCTTTGTAGTGGGCACCTACAAGTAAAACAACATTTTCTCAGTAAATAACAAAATTCAAATTTTATTGCCATTACAATGAATAATGATATAGATATCATAATAAATATAAGTAGACATCCGATAATAAACGTGTTAGGTCCAGTACAACCCAAAATGTCGGCCGACTAACAAAATGAAGAAAGCTAGCATGTTCATTGCATAGTTTTTCAAACGAGCATACTTAAGCTGTACGGAAATAGCTTTAATTCTATGTCATATTAAAAACTTTACATCATTTTTGAGAAACAAAAATAAATTTTATCAAATTTAAATAATATACACTCTTATCTGTGTAATTTCAATTTTTACGAGGGTATATAACCTAATTGTTAAACAATCACCATTTTTGAATTTATAGCTTTAAATGTGGTTCAAACATATATTCACTATATTAATATTTAACATTTAAATCCAGTACCTTACGAAAC